CCCTGGTGGTCCAGTGGTTAAGACTTCACCTTCCAATGCAGGGGGTGCAGGTTTGATCCCTGGTTGGGGAGCTAAGATCCCACATGCCTCGGGGCCGAAAAAACCAAAACATAAAACAGAAGCAATATTGTAAGAAATTCAATAAGACTTTAAAATGGTCCACATGAAAAAAAAAAATCTTAAAAAAAAGAAAAAGCTTAAAAAAAAAAATCCTCATGTACGCTGAAGAATTTCTCGACTGCAAATTATTCTACAACTTTACTTTTCTGTATGCTTTTTATCTGTCCCAAGATCTAAGTAAGTTTGACACAAATGGTAGGTTTGTAAACAATTTTACTTTCAAATTCTTTGCCTGGAGGCATCTAGACAGAATTTTGTATGCAAAAAAGTATTTACATCTAAAAATTAGACATTTTAAATTAAAATAATATTAGCGTTATAGGTGGCTGCAGGGAAGAGTTATTGAAGTTTATCTTTGTTTTGGCAGTATGAATGAATTACTTACAGAATTCCAAGATTTTAGAGCTGTTTTTATAGAATTGTTTATTATTTTCAGAAAACTCAATTTTCTGGCAGTTTTGCAAATGATCTACTCTGCATGTAGCAAAAGCTTGTTTTCCAGTTTAATAAAAATGTATTTTAAGGTTAAGAATAGACTCTCCTTTCCTGTGTGTGTGTGTGTGTGTGTCTGTGTGTCTGTGTGTGTATATGTATATGTATATACACATACTTTGGGATCAACTTTTGACTGTCCTGTCAAGGGTTTTAGATTTGTGGCAAATAACCACTAACATTTGTAAAATGCCTTACAATGAATAAAGCATATATAGTTTATATATTTTATCTTATTACATATAATGCAGGTGGTAGCACTAACATTTGTGTTGTCACTTCTGGTTCACTGAATCATAGATCTTCCCCAATGCCAAACTTTGCTAATGACGCAAAGAGCACCAAGTGCAGATGGAATATTCTTTCTTTTTTTTTTTTGGAGGAACCCCAAACTCACAAACAGATTCCAAAAATGTCCTTTTCTCCTGCATTAGTACATTGTTATGGTTTTGGATTAACAGAATAGTTTTGAGCAATGTGTGCAAAAAAACAAAACAAAACTGCACAAAGTAAGTTTTCATTTTGAAACTCCTCCATTTTATATTTTCTAAATTATACAGCTTACTGATGTTGACTTAAAAAATATGTACAACGTTAGAGTTGTGAGTTAAGTTTTACTTGGGGCAAAATGAGGACTATAGCCTGGGAGACAGCATTTCAGATAACTGAGAAATGGCTCCAAAGAGCTAAGGGGGAAGGTCAGTATATATGTGATTTTGGTGAAGGGGAAGTACATGCAATCAAGCACATATTTTTTGCAGAAGGTTTTTGGTAGCCACGAGGAGCAGTTGTCACCATGAAGGATTTTAGTGCTTTTCCAGATATGAGGAGATACAAGAGTTGGGCTCATAAAACCGTCCCCTGAAAATATTGAACTCTCTGAAGACCTGTTCTGCCAGTTTTTCCCAGCTCATTCCTGCTCTCCACTCTGAACTCCTTTCAGGGGGTGTTGAAAGTCAGCAGTTGCAGCAGCACATGGTTTAATCCTTGTAGAGGTAGTTGGCAAGTGCCAATGGCAAGTGCCAATTGTAGTTAACAGGGCCCTCTCATGGTCTTAAATTGGACCATGATTTGGGAGGCATTTCATGACCATTTCGTCCTGTGGTGCTAGGAAGGCTCATTCCTAGTTCTGGCGAAAATTTCGCTGATAGTCTACTCAGTGTGCTGTTACTGGACTAGGTCTTATTAACAATAGTCAAAGGATCACCTGTCCTACTAGTCTGTTACGGTCCAGAAAAAAATTCCGCCTTGTTGCATCCATCTTCACATATCTAGAGTTGCACTATTACAATTATTGATCTCATATAAAACTATGTATTTTTGTTGGAGGCTCAGTCACACATTTGGTAATGCAAGAAACAACAATCTTGTAAAACAGGCAAAATGCAAATAACATAGCTAGCAGTATTATTAAAGTCATAAATAAGAATTTCTTTTTTATTAATTAATTAATTTATTTTTGCTGTGTTGGGTCTTGGTTTCTGTGCAAGGGCTTTCTCTAGTTGCGGCAAGCGGGGGCCACTCTTCATCACGGTGCGCGGCCTCTCTTGTTGTGGAGCACCGGCAGATGCGCAGGCTCAATAGTTGTGGCTCATGGGCCTAGTTGCTCCGCGGCGCGTGGGATCCTCCCAGACCAGAGCTCAAACCCGTGTCCCCTGCATTAGCAGGCAGATTCTCAACCACTGTGCCACCAGGGAAGCCCCGTAAGAATTTTTTTAAAATTAATTAATTAGTTTATTTTTGGTTGCGTTGGGTCTTCATTACAGCGTGCGGGGTTTCTCTAGTTGCGGTGTGCGGGGGTGGGGGGTGACTTCTCATTGCAGTGGCTTCTCTTGTTGCGGAGCACGGGTTCTAGGCACACGGGCTTCAGTAGTTGTGCCACACGAGCTCTAGAGTGCAGGCTCAGTAGCTGCAGCTCGCGGGCTCTAGTGCGCAGGCTCAGTAGTTGTGGCCCATGGGCTTAGTTGCTCTGCGGCACGTGGGATCTTCCCGGACCAGGGCTTGAACCCGTGTCTCTGTGTTGGCAGGTGGTTTCTTAGCCACTGCGCCACCAGGGAAGCCCCTGGATTGATTTTTAAAATTAGGATAGGATCATGCCCATGATAGGAAAACATTTGATTCATGTGCAAAGGTCCAAGAAGTCAAGAAAATGTTGTAAAGTATCATACAAGCCAGGTCCAGGATCTTGGGCTAGCTGTCTACTTCTGATGTCTTCTTCCTCTCATCCTAGTGTGAGTGTAGTTTCTCCTCTGAGCATTGTTTTAAGGTGATTTTGAGTTCAGCCATAATCTCTATAGGCCAGTCCAGTGTAGGGACCCTTGGTAAGTGGGAATTAATCCGAATCAGTTCTCTTCAGTTTCAGTATGCATGAGCTAGTTAAGAGTCCCTGATAAGAGTCCTTCTGTCTAGGTTGGAGAAAGTCCTTTAAATTATGTCTTTTCCAGTATGCATAATCCTCTGGTTGCAGGTCATGGGGCATCTGATCTTCATCTAAAAGATTACTGAGATAAGCTTTGAAAACAAACTCAGAGTGTCCTTTTAATAATTTAATTAAACTTTGCATTAATATAACCTAACAGCAAGGAACTATCTAGGAAGTGAGTCTTAGTAAATACAGACCTGCATTAACAAAACTGGGATTTCTGGGATTTAATATTCATTGAAACATAATCTTTTTTCTCTCTAAATTTATCCTCATTTCTTCCAAATATAACCAAATTAAGACCAATTTGTTTACAAAGTAAGTCTGGCCTCAATAAACTTGCCTTGATGATTAATATAACTATAATTGATCATACAGGCTTTTTTGCTTTGATGAAACTTTTATAAGGAGTCTCAAACTGAACTTTTAAAAGACCTCTCAGGGCTAGGGAAGTCATGACAATGGCTTTTCACAGATTTCGCTTCACAGATCTAGGTGCATTCCTCCCTTTTCAAGGTCCCCCAAATACCTTGAGATTTCTGTCACATGTTGTGCATTTTTTTAAGTCTATACTGACTACCCCCCATTTTCCAGACATAAGTAATAAAGCCAGAATTCCAGGCTTATTTATGATGAGCAGCCTAGATAGGTTAGTTATATCTGGCTAACATTTTCTGGATAGATACTCTGGTATTTTTCTGCTAGTGGATACCACTGATAGATTTACAAGGCTACCATCCAGTTTGAGGTCATTAGCACATTTTGGTGGTTGAGGTCTTTCGTTCTTTCTTCCCCAGTAGGGCCAGTGAGTTCCCCATTCCTGGTGTTAATCCTCTCCTTCCCAGCTGCTGTTAATCCTTTCCTTCCCAGTCAGTGCATAAGAATGATGGAGTTTGTTCTGTATGGAAAATTTGTTTGCCAAAGTAATCTTTAAAAATTTTCTTTCATACATTATTAGTGTTCTCAGTTTTGGGGGGTTTATGCTTGGGAAAATGAGCACTTAAATGGATACTTGCTGGATATTTTTAAATTTTTTCAGAATTTGTATTGCTAAATATCAGTAGGGATAACAGGCTATCCCATAATCATAAATAGTTGCTTTGATTATTTCATATTGACATTGTTTCATCATAAGAATCTTCAGGTGTATACTAAAAACTGCTGTGCCTTTACTAGAAATTTGAGATAACAGGAACTAAGGTTGGGGTTTGAAGAATTTTATTAAGAACTTAAGGCCACTTCAGTTTAGTGTATTAAGTCACATGAGGATATGGATCTGTTTTATCTTTAAAAGAAAGAGTATGTCATGGTTTTCCTATTGTATTTTCTACAACCATTCTTGAAGTGTGGTTTATATTGAGTAGAGCCCTCAAAGCTCGTAACAGATTTTTTAAAAATATTCTCAACGAAACTCTTATTCTTAGGGAGACTGGTTCACTTGTTAGGCCAAGAGTATAATTAAAAACCCTTAATATAGAAAAGCTTATCTGTCTCAAAATTCTCTTCAGGTAGACTTGTGAACAGTTTAACGGTTTGATGAGTTTACTTAGATCTTAGGAAAGATGATAAGAAAATTAAAGTTATCAAAAATTTATAGCAGTTTATACACTCAGATATTCTCATTGTAAATGAGATAAACACTATTTTTTAAAAGGATCAAAGTCAGAGAATAATAAAATTTTGAAACTGCTAGAACCTTAGAACTCAAGTAAACTGGCTCACTTATTTTGAAAAGAGGAAATACTAAATGTATGGTCATTAGAGCTAGCATGTTGTATGTTTCTTTTTCTTTTGCGATTCCAGCTCTTATAACCTATATTTGGGCCTAGATGCCGTAACTTAATTTAAACATGTATATTTGGATCTTCAATCATATTGATAGGTCTGTCTCTGAATTTTCTTACAAAGACTGTATTTCTTAGCAAAGTACTTGTTTTTTGGATTTTGCAACTAGAACCTTTTAAAGATGAATGAACAAACATTGGAAACAACACAGCAGCGGAAACTTCCTGAATGGATGTCTACGCAGAAGAAGACATATTCTGTAGAAGAAAGAAAGGTATGCCATTCATTGATTATTCTTTCAGATGGAAAATTTAATGTGCGTTTGACTGTAAAATAAGTCAATCCTAACTTGTAAACTTCAAGCCATTGTTTACGTTTAGAGTTGCTGTTGTGTGAATGAACCAGAATCTAGTCATTGAATGGATGAATGGGATTAAATTTTAACTGGGTTTACAAAAATTAGAATTCTTACTCTATACTTTTCCTTTTTATCTAGTTTACATGGTTGACCTTGCCAGTTTGTTCCAATTCAGATAATAATTTAGACAGTATTTATTTTGGTGAATTTTTATGGTTAAGTGAGTTTTAAGTCTTCGTAGATTTAAGCTCCATCAACCAGTGTTCAGCATTTTATGGCAACATTATTGCATGTAGAATACTAATATAATTAAAGAAAAAATTTAATAAAATAAATGCTTTTATGAAAATAGGATTAGAAGTTTGCAAATAAATTGGTTAGAAAAATAATTTTACAGTGGGTAGCTTTATGTTTGTTAAATTGTCCGTATGACTTCATTAATCTATAAAGCATTAGTTGATAAAACTTAGAACTATAATTTGAATGCTTCAGTGAACTTTATTATTTCAGTGAACATTTATTATTTAATGTGAATTTTATTTGTGCCTTTTCGGAATTTTGTTTAACTCAAGGCATCTATTCAGAAGAGTGTTTTGGAAGATGATCTCCCCTTCTTAGAATTCACTGGATCCATTGTGTACAGTTATGAAGCTAATGATTGTTCTTTCCTATCAGAAGATATTAGGTAAAGATTTAAATTTCCTACTTTCAGTTTAATTTGGACCCTTAGAATGTAACTATTATGGTAATATTTGTATGTGTATTGAGTTTTATAGTTGAGGTGTGTTCAGTACATAATTACTTATATATGTAAAATATCACTGATAAGTTCTAATTCTGCTTTTTAAATAAAAACTTAAAATCACTGAATTAAATTTGTAATGTAGCTGTTTGTTCATTCATAAGACTTTCTATTACTCTAGCTAATTTTTTTACTTTTCAGTACTTAAGATGTTATATATAGAACACACCAGTTTAGGAAAAACATGCAAAAATTATTCAACCTCTAAAACACCCCTTTCTATTTCATTAAAAATACCAACATAGTAATACTGAATAGTGATTGTGATTGTCTCTGTTGCATTTAGTTAGCAACAATTATAGCAAATGATCCTTAAAAAGAACATTAAAAATGACTTAGTATTTTTTAAATTGTCTAATTAAATTAATACTCTACAATAATGCAGTCTAAGGCTCTTGAAGCAGTTTACAAGGAGAAATAGGGAATTCATTCAGATCTTTGAAGTTATTATACCTGTCCTTTTTTTTTTTTTTAAACTGTTACACATTGGCTTAGAAGAAGCAGAGGTAAATTAAGCTATTTATTAATGGTCTCCTGGTAAATGTATTCTAGAAATAGCATTCAGGTGTCCTCACTCCCACTATAGTTACCTGGCTGACTTTTGGGACTCATTAAATAGAACTAAATTGTCTCACAGAGAAGGTAAAATCTGTTATTTATGATTATGTATTAACTCTACCATCTTACCTTTGACAATGCTATAGTATGTCCTATCTGAAGGCAATAAGCGTGTTTTGAAGAGTGTAGTTCTGATGAATTGTATGTTTTATGGAAGGCAGGCAAGTTTTTTTTTATTTTCACCTCCTTTGGTTACTTTAAAGATTTTTGCTATTCCAGGTTTTCAGCAATTAGATTATGATGTGCCTTTGTGTAGTGTGGTTTGTGTTTATCTTGCTTGGGGATTCAGTGAGCATTTTGGATCTGTGGGTTTATAGTTTCATCATATTTGAATAATTTCTTCAAATGAGTTTTTTCTCACATTCTGTTATTCTCCTCTTTTGCCACTCTCAATGCAGATAGGTTAGATTGCTTGATACTGTGTTGTTGGTCACGAGGCTCTTTCAGTGTTTAAAATTTTTTCTTTCATTCTTTTTTCTCTCTGTGCTTCAGTTTCAATAGTTTCTTTGGCTCTGTCTGCAAGTTCACTTATTTACTTTTTTATTCTGTAGTGTCTGTTCTGCTGTTATCCCATCCTGTGAAGTTTAAATTTTGTTGTATTTTTCATCTCTAGAAGTTCTGTTTGTTTCTTTTTAAAAATATCTTCTATTTTGGCTCTTATCATATTCATGTTTTCTTTTAAATCTTTGAACATGTTCAGCATGTTTATAATAGCTGTTTTAATATCCTTTTCTGTTAATTCCACTATACTAGCTATTTTTTCTGTTAAATGATTTTTATCCTGCTTATGAGTCATGTTTTCCAGTTTTTTGTTTCATGGCTGACAATTTTTGATTGGATGTTGTGATTTTACCTTGTTGAATGTTAGATTTTACTGTCTTCCTTGAAGGAAAGGAGCTTTGCTCTGTCAGGCAGTTAAGTTACCTGAAGATCAGACTTAACATTTTGAGGCTTATTTTTAAGCTTTTTTAGGGCATATCTACGGTAGCCTTTATTCTGGACATGATTTAGCCCTGTAATGGGTGTGACCTTTCTGGAGTCTTTGTTGACTGCCCCAGGTGATCAAAAAGAATCTACTCCAACTTTTCAGAACTTTAATGCCTCTTACCTCTATGTAAGCCCTAGGAGCTGTCCAGCTTACAGTTCCCTGGTTTTTCTTTGTCTAGCCTCGTAGTGTCACTGCATGCTTGCACATCTTTTCCTTCCTAGCTCCCTCCTCCCCAGGACTCTACCCACAACTTCTAGCTGCCTCCTCTTCTCTGGCTCTGAGCTCTGTCTCCCAATTCAGTGCTCTGCTTTGGACTCTCCTCCCTGTTCTGTTATCTGGAATGTTCCAGGCAGAAAGCTGGGGCAGCAGTAGGCCTTACCGTTTATTTCCTTCCCTCAGAGAGCATAGTCCTGTACTGCCCATTGTCTAGTGTCTGAAAACTGTTGTTTATGTATTTTGTCCAATTTTCTATCTGTTCATGAAGGAAAGTTATGACTGATCAGTGTTATTTCATCTTAGCCCAAAGCAGAGGTTGAGTTAAAAAAATTTTTTAAAGTACATTTTTCGCTTTTAAAAATTGTGAAATAGGCATATATAAACAATCATATAAAAAGCACCCGTATTCCTTCCACTAGCTTTATCAAATCTTAATATTAATTTTCTTCAAATCTTTATTAAGTCATGAAACAATAAAATATAACTGAAGCCCGTGTATGCCCTTTCTAATTCTCTCCTCTGTAGTCCTCTGAGAGAACTTCTGTCACAAGTTCAGTGTTTAGCATTCCCTCACATATTTTCTACAATTTTCATAATTTTATATCCCCAAATATCATATACTATTACTTTATGCCCATTTAGAAATTTTAAAAATAATGCTATCAAACTCTGTTTATATTCTGCCACTTGTCTTTTTCACTCAACATTTTATATTCTTGAGAATTTTTCTTTTTGGTTTGGTATATGAAGTTCTATTTAAACTTTTATATAATGTTACATTGTTTCAATATGTTACAATTTGTTCATTCTCTTGTTGATGGAAATGTATTGTGTCCGTTTTTGCCAGTTGCAACAGTATTGCAATGAACATTCTTAAACATTTCTATCTGTGCACATATGAGAGTTTCGTATATTTATGAGAAAAACTTGTCAGTTCATGCTGTTTACACATCTTTAGCTAGATATTGTTAAGTTTTTTCCAAGAAGATTTTATCAGTTTAAACATTCACCAGTATGTGAGTGGTCCCACTGGTAGATACCCTTCTCAGCATTTAATATTGTGAAGCTTTGTCAGTCAGGTAGATGTGAAATTGTATAGGTTCAATTTACATTCCTCTGAGTTCTATTGAGATTTTGTATCTTCATATATGTATTTGAATTTATTGGCCATTTGGATTTCCTTTGGGGAATTGCCTTCCTATTTTTAATATTTTATGACTATTTATTATCAGTTATATGTATTACAGATATCTTCTACTGTCTGTGGCTTGTCTTTTAACATTTTGAATGATGTCTTTAGTTATATAGAAATTAAAATTTTAATGTAATTAATTTACACTGTTTTTCCCCATGTAGCATGAGTGTGTCTGATGGAGATGTGGTAGGATTTGACATGGAATGGCCATCAATATACAGTAAAGGGAAACTGAGCAGAGTTGCACTAATTCAGCTGTGTGTGTCAGAGAGCAAATGTTACTTGTTTCATATTTCTTCTATGTCAGGTTGGTATCACTTTTATTTGTTTCATTTTTATATGGTTGATAATTGTATTATGTCAACTTTATCCATATAAAATTAAACTCTTGAATTAACTGGTGCTTCTCTCATCACCTTATGTTTATTTAAGTATTTATATTCTACCTGATTCACTCATATCCCTGTTTTATTTAATTTTTACATCGTCTCTGTCAAGTGTTGATATTATTCCTGTTTTAGAGAGTAGAGAACTGAAGTATAGAGGGGCTAAATTTTAGTGATAACAGAGGTAGCATTTATGTTAGTTGTTTTTCTGTCATTTATCAATCAGAACTTTTTGCTTTAGGCAAGAAAAGCAACACTCAAGTCAACTGTGTTTCTGAATTTAAACTTAAACAGAAGTTTAAGTATAAACATAGAATGTGTAAGAAGTAGAAAATAAATCTATCAAATTTGATAGAACCGATGGAACTAATAAAAAAATGTTACAGTTTTCCCTCAGGGATTAAAAATGTTGCTTGAAAATGAAGCAATTAAAAAGGCAGGTGTAGGAATTGAAGGAGATCAGTGGAAACTTCTACGTGACTTTGACATCAAATTGAAGAGTTTTGTGGAGCTGACAGATGTTGCCAATGAAAAGGTAGATATAATATGTATATTATTGTCACAAACAAGAAATTTGTGTTTCACAGAATGTCCCTTCTATCTGTTTTAGATTTTTTTGAAGAAATAATGTAGGCTATATAATGTTTTTGTAAAAAAGAAGTCCCCAGTGAGTGTTCAATAATGAAAACCTTCAGTTCTAATCCATTGCCTTAGCAGTTTCTTTAAGCAAGCACCTTCTCCCATATTTAGTATTATTTCACTTTGTTTCATATATATGCAAATTTATATATTGTATTTTAAGTTTATCTCTTTAATCCATCTATATCAATATCTTTTTTTTTTTAAAGAGCATAATGTAGCTCTTGTGGTATGATGCTCTTAGTGGAAGTTTGACCATCCCTTCCATCACCCATATTTCACCTATTTTATTCATGTAGTCATTAAGTTAAATTCTCATATTAGCCAACTATTCATTTGGCTGAGAAGTAGAAAGCCTACCAACCTATTCAACTTTTGTCTATGAATGATGCTTCGACAGTCCAAGAATTTTAATACCTACATTGGGGTAATTCCAGAATTAAATTCTTATAATGTAAACTGCAAATGAGGTTTTGAGTGACAGGAAATCTATTAAGGACTATCTCTGCCTTATATTTTGGTGTAACATTTCCAACTTTATGTGTGACATGTTCATTTGGTATCAGATAATTAGGAATATCTGAAAATAGAAGGAAATAATTTTTCCTGAGTTGATTTTTCATTGCTTTTAGTTGAAATGTACAGAGACCTGGAGTCTCAGTGGTTTGGTTAAACACCTCTTTGGTAAACAGCTTCTGAAAGACAAGTCTATCCGCTGCAGCAACTGGAGTAAGTTTCCCCTGACTGAGGACCAGAAACTATATGCAGCCACTGATGCTTATGTATGTACCAGACATCTTTAGACTATGATCTGTTTGTTAAACTTTATAATAAATTTCTTTATAAAAGTTTTATTGTGGTAGTGGCACAAACTTAACTAAAATCTTTTAAATCAGTTTGGCATTAAAAATGCTTAGGAAGAAATTTAGTGAAACTTGTAATTTTGAGTATTAATTAGCAAGTACCAATCAACAGATTGTTTAATACTAGTTATTTTTATTATCATGAAGCCAAAATAATGGTCCAATTTGTATGTAAAAAATGTGAGTTCTCTGAAAACATGAAAGGCGAATAAGCTTAGACTGAGCAAGAACAAATGGTATTGATGATGTGTTTTATTATAGGCCACTGCAGAATAAAAAACTACAATACAGTTTCTATATTGAAACTGGCCTTATTTCTTATGTTTATATTTAAAATGTGGTAAAAATTTAGAAAAATTGCCTCCACAATTAGCTTTCTACTGCTGTTAGTCAGATGTATTTTCATATTTACATATTTGTACATAATGAAATCTGGCCTTATCTATATATATAGCACTATTGTTTGTTTCCAAGAAATGTATTTTATGTCCCAATGGACTTTTTTTCCCCTTATACTTTTATTTTTAGATGAATATCTTATTGTTTACTTTTTTGCATCTGTTTTTATGAATGGAAGCTCCTTTTATTTATAAACAAAAAAAATTCAATTTTGTGGGGGAATAGATAATTTTCCTTTATGTTCTGTTTAAAAACATCAGAAAACTTGTTGAGAGCTAGTACAAGTTCTGTAGCATTTTTATTCATGAGACACCTGTGTGACTTGATTGTTCCTATTAACAGTAGCTAGAAGGAGGACTGTATATACACTGACAGCTAATAATGAGATAATGGGGAATGGATATCTGTAGTCAAACAGTTTTCTCTTACTTGATTGTATTTTGTTAGATTCCATTTATGAGTTATTTGATTTCGTTACCTGCTCATAATATTGGACGTTAAAATGTGAAAATTTTTATTTTAAGGTGTAGACAGTTACTTTCTGCATTCTCACAATTGGTGTGGTGAATAAATAAAGACATTTAGATCTTTGCGTAACTTAATAGGTTGAATTCAGCTTTTTGGGTGCCTTGGGAATCATTGTTTGAGATTTTTGTAAAGATGGGACATGAAATTTTATTTGATGATCTTTAGTATACTGTTTTCATTTTTTTGTTTTCCTGTAGGCTGGATTCATCATTTATCAAAAATTAGAAAATTTGGGAGATGCTGTACAGATATTTGCTATACATGAAGGTATGTTATGGTCTGAAAATAAAAGGTAAAATTTGAATTTGCTCATTTGTGAGGCTTATCTCCAAAAAGTATTCACACATATGCAAAATATTTAGTATTATTACAACTTCTTGATTGTCTGAGCAGTGTTAACATTAGGATGAGGTCTATTTGGCCAAAGCTTAGGGCTTCAGGCATGTTGGTTGTAGCAAAGCAGGACTTAACTAGTTTTCCTTTGTAGCATTGCTGTTCACTAGGCTTCTAGAGTTGGGTCTTAATAACATCAGTGATACAACCACCCACCTCTCAGTCTGGAGATTATACATCTTTGCTATAAATATTTAAAGTATATAAGATGCTTTATAGTGCCCTGGTTTAAATTTCTAAATTTTCTCCAGGATACGATAACTCTGCTGTTTTTCTCCAAACAGAATGGCCACTTCCTCCCTCCCTCCCTTCCTCCCTCCCTCCCTCCTTTCCTTCCAGCAGTGTCAACCTCACCTTTCTCAAATTTCCCCCGTGTATATACAGACGATATTTTCAAATGACCACTTTTGGTTTGTATTATAAGTTTGTGTTTTTTCTTTTATTAAAGGATACAAGAAGATTAGAATATCAGAAAATAAAAAGATATTTGCACATTGTTTCTCACTTAAAATACTAGCTTATTCCCAAGATGGTAGCTAATAAACACTAAATGATACAGTAGTTAAATATATTTTTATTCATTTATTAAATATTACTCGGCCCTTTATGAATGGAGATCCAGCAGTGAACAAAGACAAGCAGGATCTGTTTCCTGAGAGGGAAACCTACAACTTTATGGGGGATATAGATGAACCAAAAAAAGGCAGTGTAGGAAGATGAGGCTTATGATGTGGGAAAAAAAGGTGTTACGGTTAGCATATAGGAGAGGCATCCATGCATATTTGGAGGTATTAGAGAATATTTTATGGAGAAAGTGATGTTTACGGCAAGACCTGAAATATGAGCAGGAGTCAGCTAGCTGAAGAGCAGAGGAGAAGTGTCAAAGGCACAGGAAATAGCAGGGGCCAAGTTTCAGAGGTAAGGGGTATCTATAGGCAACTGAAAGCAGTAAAGCACGGTGAGCTATTGAATATGACAGGGTGGGGGGTGTAGGAGAAGCAGAAAAAGGAAAGCAGATAGGCCATGTTAGGGGTTTACATTTCCTCCTAAGAGCTATTGAGGGTTTTAAGCACAGGAGTGATGTGAATTACATTAAAAAAATACGAACTTGGACTGTAGAGCAGAAAATGCGTTCTGGAGGGCAAGGGTCACAGTGGAAAGACCTGTTAGGAGGCTGTGCCCATAATCCAAGTGAGAGGTGATGGTGACCTGGCTTGGTTGGTTGTATTGAGGATGGAGAGAAGTGGATAGATGCAAAAGACATTTAATAGGGCAGTAGAATGAAGAGAATTTAATGTGATGGTGTGAGCCATGTGCCAAGGATCAGTCCTGTGCTGCTGGCATGAGCAACAGTGGTGAGAAATGTTGAAGAGGAGGAGCAGGGTTTGGGGTAGAGGAGTCATACAGTTGATTTTAGGCACGTTAAAGGAAGGAAGCCTGCGAGCTAGCGAAATGGAGGTGGTGGCCCGCAGGCACTTAGATACCCAGCCTGAAACTCAGGGGACAGTTTGAATTAAAGGTAAAGAATTAGGAGTTTGAGATAAAGAAGTGGGGCTGAGAGTTGCGAGGAACTCTTAGTATTTAATGTTTGCGTGGAGGAGGGGGACACCATAGGAGCTGCCATGGGCATAGAAGGAAATGAGGAGGTGGGGTGTGCAGCAGGCCAAGTAAAGAGCATGTTTTTTGTAGGAGGGTGTTATCAACTGTTTTAAATTTTCCTGAGAGTCTGAGAAGCTGAGGACTCAGAATTAGTCCTTGGATTTGGCAATGTGGCAATCATTTGTAATCTTCTACTGCAGCAGCTTTGGTGTACTCGGTGACAAAAGGGTATATCGAGGAGAGAGTGGTCATGGGGGCACAAAAAATGGTCACAGGCTTGGGTACCATGAAGGTACTGTAACCGAAGCAAGAGTGGAATGATGTGGGAGAAATCACATTTGCGTGAATAGAGGACTAAGATGTAAGGAAAGTGAGAAAGCTTGTGTGAGTAACTTTTTTTTTTTTTAAGAAGCTTGGTTTGGAAAGGGAATATTTATTCATTTATTCATATACCATATTTGTTGGGTGTTTATTATGGGTCAGGCAGTGTACCACTTGCTGATGAAATTGCACTGAACAAAGCAGACCAAACCTCTTTACTTCATTTGTCTGAGTGAGGGAATGATGCCCAAGGGGAGAACATGGAAGGTGTGAGGGGAAGAGAGAGCAGAGGGGAAGAGAGAGCAGAGCGTCTGAGGGACAGTGAGTGTGACTGAGGTGAAATGAAAAAGAGTGAGAGGAATAGGAAATGATGCCAGAAAAGTAGCTTGGGCCAGAGCATTTAGGGCCTTATAGGCTGTGAATCTGACTTCATATTTTATTAATTAAAATAAATACCATGATGAGTGATGCGAAATCCTTTTGGGTTTTGAGCAGCAGAATGATATGATTAAAGTTATTTTTCTGGATGCTGTAGGAGGGCAAGTGTTTAGGCAGGGAAGTTGGTTTGGAAGCTATTGTAATAGTCCAGACAAGAGATGATGATTGTGTGGGCTTCCCTGGTGGCACAGTGGCTGAGAGTCTGCCTGCCGATGCAGGGGACATGGGTTCGTGCCCTGGTCTGGGGAGATCCCACATGCCGCGGAGCGGCTGGGCCCGTGAGCCATGCCCCCTGGGCCTGCGTGTCTGGAGCCTGTGCTCCGCAGCGGGAGAGGCCGCAGTGGTGAGAGGCCCGCGTACTGCAAAAAAAAAAAAAAAAA